AATATTCACTCTTTTTTATATTTTTAAAATTTTTTAAACATTTTGTCAATTACCAAACGCGTTTGTAGTTTATGTTTTTCTAAAAATAAACAAAAACCAGTTTATAAAATTTTTGTAAATATAAACTGAAAACGTAAACGTTACCAAACACACATCCCATAAACCAAGACCATCAGCCTCAATCTTTTACTAGAAATAATGCTATTTGCTCAAACCCTGAACTGAAGTCATAATTTGTAAGTTCTACTGCTCTAGTATAATAAAGAATACTTTTAGCCAAAAAGTTTTTTTAAAAAAAACACCTAAAAACAGTATCATCTTAACTTTTTTACGTCTTATAATAAAATGCCAAAAAAAAATACTAAAAAGTCCATTCTCAAAACAACCCTTAATTCAACCCAGCAAAGATATTAACTTGAGTCAGTACTACTACTATTTAAATCCAAAAACAAGAGCTAGCAAATCAGGGCGGAATCAAATATGCACGTCAACAATCACAAACCCAAAATGGTTATCTGATTCAACTCCATTATACAAACAAAAAAATTAATATTTAAAAAAAAAAAAAGACAACTGACACAACCATCATCATTATCATCAACTCAATCAAAGGGGGGAAAAAAAAAACTAGTCTTAAAACAGGACGAACACACACACACACATATACATCAAACCCTCTCACGCTACACAGAAACGAAGATTCTCAAAAGAAACCATTGATCAACCAAAAATGCAAATCAGAATGAAAAAATATATAATGATCATATAATCGAAGAACAAATTAAACAAGAACACAATCGAATAAAAAGGCACATAAGAAAATTATATGAAAAAACATGAAATTTCACGGTAACAGATAATGAAAGGATGATCGGTGACGATGTTGAAGATTTCTACCGAAAAATCATACCTTGCAGAGGCCGATTACGGGTAAACGATCAATTCGATATACGGAGAGAGGCATCTGTATATCTTTTATCTATAGAGAGAGAGAGAGAGAGAGAAGAGAGCCATTTCAGAGGCCAATTTCCCTCTTTGTGCCATTTTGAATATTTTAGTCCCATTTTAGGGTGTGTTTTTATCTTTATTCCCAAAATAGGGTAAAACGGTTTTCGTAATGCCGTTTTTTAGAAAACGGTTTTCGCAAAACCGTATTCATCGATTAAAATAATAATAAAATTTCAAAATAGAAACCGGCTTTTCTAAAGCCGTTTTTGATTAAGATTTTAATTATTTTGAATTAATTAAAAACGGTTTTCGTAAAACCGTTTTCCCATTAATTTTTTTTTTAATTTATATTTTCAACATAAATATTTTTTGGTCAAATTTTTTTTTTAATAAAAACCGGTTTTAGAAAAGCCGTTTTTGCATTAATTTCTTTTAAATAAATATTTTATGACAAAATTTTTTTTTTAATAAAAAACGGTTTTAGAAAAGTCGTTTTTGAGTAAATTTTTTTTTTTTGAAAACGGTTTTACAAAAGTCGTTTTTTGACCAAAAACATTTTTAATGAAAACCGGTTTTAGAAAACCCATTTCATTCCTTCTCCTCCCTTACGAAAGCCGTGTTTGATCCAAACCATTTTCTTCTCCCTCTCTCAGCCGAAGAAGACCGACGACTTCTCCCTCTCTCAGCCGAAGAAGACCGACGACTTCTCCCTCTCTCAGCCGAAGAAGACCGACGACTTCTCCCTCTCTCAGCCGAAGAAGACCGACGACTTCTCCCTCTCTCAGCCGAAGAAGACCGACGACTTCTCCCTCTCTCAGCCGAAGAAGACCGACGACTTCTCCCTCTCTCAGCCGAAGAAGACCGACGACTTCTCCCTCTCTCAGCCGAAGAAGACCGACGACTTCTCCCTCTCTCAGCCGAAGAAGACCGACGACTTCTCCCTCTCTCAGCCGAAGAAGACCGACGACTTCTCCCTCTCTCAGCCGAAGAAGACCGACGACTTCTCCCTCTCTCAGCCGAAGAAGACCGACGACTTCTCCCTCTCTCAGCCGAAGAAGACCGACGACTTCTCCCTCTCTCAGCCGAAGAAGACCGACGACTTCTCCCTCTCTCAGCCGAAGAAGACCGACGACTTCTCCCTCTCTCAGCCGAAGAAGACCGACGACTTCTCCCTCTCTCAGCCGAAGAAGACCGACGACTTCTCCCTCTCTCAGCCGAAGAAGACCGACGACTTCTCCCTCTCTCAGCCGAAGAAGACCGACGACTTCTCCCTCTCTCAGCCGAAGAAGACCGACGACTTCTCCCTCTCTCAGCCGAAGAAGACCGACGACTTCTCCCTCTCTCAGCCGAAGAAGACCGACGACTTCTCCCTCTCTCAGCCGAAGAAGACCGACGACTTCTCCCTCTCTCAGCCGAAGAAGACCGACGACTTCTCCCTCTCTCAGCCGAAGAAGACCGACGACTTCTCCCTCTCTCAGCCGAAGAAGACCGACGACTTCTCCCTCTCTCAGCCGAAGAAGACCGACGACTTCTCCCTCTCTCAGCCGAAGAAGACCGACGACTTCTCCCTCTCTCAGCCGAAGAAGACCGACGACTTCTCCCTCTCTCAGCCGAAGAAGACCGACGACTTCTCCCTCTCTCAGCCGAAGAAGACCGACGACTTCTCCCTCTCTCAGCCGAAGAAGACCGACGACTTCTCCCTCTCTCAGCCGAAGAAGACCGACGACTTCTCCCTCTCTCAGCCGAAGAAGACCGACGACTTCTCCCTCTCTCAGCCGAAGAAGACCGACGACTTCTCCCTCTCTCAGCCGAAGAAGACCGACGACTTCTCCCTCTCTCAGCCGAAGAAGACCGACGACTTCTCCCTCTCTCAGCCGAAGAAGACCGACGACTTCTCCCTCTCTCAGCCGAAGAAGACCGCCAGACCAATCATTCAGCGCACTCGCAGATCGACACTTCACCATTTCGAAATAGTGGCAGAAGAAGTAGGCAACCTGCTGGAGGCAGGAGCAATTAGAGAAGTGCACTACCCAAGATAGATATCCAACACAGTCGTAGTGCCAAAAAAGAATGGTAAATGGCGTGTCTGCGTCGACTACAAAACAGTCAACAAGGCGTGCCCAAAAGATAGCTTTCCTCTACCAAGGATAGATCAGCTGGTGGACCTAACGGCAGGGCACAACCGACTTAGCTTTCTGGATGCATACAGAGGCTACCACCAGATCGCCATGCATGAACCAGACCAGGAGGTCACATCCTTCACAACACCAAGGGGGTTATATTGCTACAAGGTCATGCCCTTTGGCCTAAAGAACGCAGGGGCGACATTCCAAAGGATGGTCACCAAGATGTTTGAACCATTGTTAGGCAGAACAATGGAGGCTTACATCGACGACATGGTGGTCAAAAGCAAGGATGAGAATGACCATCTTAAAGACCTAGGCGAGATGTTCTAGATCCTGAAGAAACACAAGTTGCGCCTCAATGCGTCCAAGTGTGCATTCGGAATAGGATCTGGCAAATTTCTGAGCTTCCTCATGACCAACCGAGGTATAGAGGCAGACCCCTCTCAAATCAAGGCAATCCAGGAGTTGGAGAGACCAAACTCAGTCAAAGAAGTGCAGCATCTCACTGGTATGGCGGCTGCGCTCAACCGGTTCATAAGCAGGTCATCAGACAGACTACGACCATTCTTCCAAGCTTTAAAAGCCAAGTTTGAGCAGATTAGAGACAACGCTCTTGCTGGGAATCGGAGACCTATCGATCTCGACGTTGAAGGGGACAATAGCGACACAGAAACAGAAGAAAGAAGAGAAAAAGCAATGGTTACTTGTTACTCCAGTACCTGGTGAAGAACTCTTTTTGTACCTGGCAGTCTCTCAGCACGCAGTTAGCGCAGTGTTGGTTCGTGCAGAAGGAATACAACACTTGCCCATCTTTTATGTCAGCAAGACATTGTTGGGAGCCGAAACAAGGTACTTGCCCTTGGAGAAACTAGCATTAGCATTAATGATGGCATCCAGAAAATTGGCGCACTACTTTCATGCCCACACCATAGTCGTCCTCACAGCCTTTCCACTAAAAGCTCTGTTTGAAAGGGCGAACTTTAGTGGGCGAATTTTGAAGTGGGCAGTGGAGTTGGGACAATTCGACATCAAGTTCCAACCTAAGACCGCAATAAAAGCCCAATCCTTGGCAGACTTCGTCGCAGAGTTTACTCCTAGAAGTCATCGTATCTGCCCAGTCGACTTAACTGACACAACCGAACTAGGGACAGAAGTTGACGCCGGAATAGCGCAACCCCTAGTAGAAGGAAGTCAATCAAGCACCAGGGCAAACCATACTAAGGACAACAAGGAAGAGACAAACAAAGGCTTACCAGCAGTTCAAACAAAGGACGAAGGGCAGACAGCCAACATGGACCTTGAAGAAAACACCATTCTAGACCCCACGACATCATCTGATCCTTCCACTTGCTGGAAGTTATTCGTTGGAGAGATGTGGAAGCTCTTTGTCGATGGGGCATCCAACCGACATGGTGCAGGGCTTGGCATAGTCCTCATTTCTCCAGACGGCCTAGTTGTAGAGCAAGCAATCAACTTTGGCTTCCCAGCATCCAACAATGAAGCGGAGTATGAGGCGCTTCTCGCAGGACTCAAGTCGGCATACTACATGAAGGCCACCGAACTAATGGTATACAGTGACTCTCTGCTGGTGGTAAACCAAATTTCTGGCGAATACGAAGCAAAGGACGACAGAATGGCCAAGTACCAAGAGTTAGTCAGAACAGAGATCAAGAAATTTGATGTAGTAAGGATAGAACAAATTGGCAGGGAGGAAAACAGCCGAGCGGACGAACTAGCAGGCCTTGCCTCAATGGCAGATACATCAATCCCTCATCCATTACTCATCGACTTCTTACCAAGACCAAGCATAGAAGACCCCGAAGCAGAAGAAGTATGTTGCACAGAATTAGGCCCTTCTTGGATGGATTCCATCATCCTGTTCCTAAAAGACGGCATCCTACCGGAAGAGAAAAAAGAAGCCAATAGAATAAGGGCAAAGTCACAGCGATTTTGGCTATCTCCATCTTTGGCATTATACAAGAAGTCATTCTCTGGGCCTTACCTCAAGTGCGTTCATCCCAGCAAAGTAGAAGCATTCTTATTCGAAATACACGAAGGGGTGTGTGGAAGTCATCAAGGGGGAAGATCGCTCGCTTACAGGGCTATTTCGCAAGGATATTGGTGGCCATATATGCAAGCAGACTCAGAGAAATATGTGAAGAAGTGTGAAAAATGCCAGAAATTCGCACACCAAACACATCAACCAGCAAGAGAACCCCTACCCTTAACTAGCCCATGGCCTTTCGCAATGTAGGGCTTGGACATAGTAGGACCACTTCCAACAGCACCCGGCGGCAGAAAATTCTTTCTCGCAGCAACAGACTACTTCACAAAGTGGGTAGAAGCAGAAGCATTGGCGTCAATCAAGAAAAAGACGTGAAAAAGTTTGTTTGGCAGAATATCATCACCCGGTTTGGCATACCAAAAGCACTAATCTCAGACAATGGTACTCAGTTCGACGGCTGGATTAAACCAACACTTGTTACTCTTCAGCCGAAGTAAGGGTTTGGCTGAAGAGTGGTTGGCTGGATTAAACCAACACTTGTTACTCTTCAGACAAAGTAAGGTTATGGCTGAAGAGTGGTTGGTCGGAATAACCAAACATTGTTCTAAGTTAGCTGGAAAAACTAACTTAGGGGTTGGCTGGAATAAACCAACTCTTTTTACTCTTCAGCCGAAGTAAGGGTATGGCTGAAGAGTGGTTGGCTGGAATAAACCAACTCTTTTTACTCTTCAGCCGAAGTAAGGGTTTGGCTGAAGAGTGGTTGGCTGGAATAAACCAACTCTTTTTACTCTTCAGCCGAAGTAAGGGTTTGGCTGAAGAGTGGTTGGCTGGAATAAACCAACTCTTTTTACTCTTCAGCCGAAGTAAGGGTTTGGCTGAAGAGTGGTTGGCTGGAATAAACCAACTCTTTTTACTCTTCAGCCGAAGTAAGGGTTT